TTAAAAATATAAGTACAACGTAAAAACATGTATTTACACAATAAGTCCATTGTATCAAATTATTTGTTTCAATGAAAGAACATAGTACTTAAAGCCACTTAATATAAAGTTGGACCATATGAGGTCTTAAATAGAAGAATCATTGACTAATATTAGTAGTGCACTGCTGAAAATGGGTTCACTTCTGCTTTAGGCCTGCTGTCTTATTACATGTTTTACTGGGGGTCTTTTCACTTTTCAAGACTCATTTGGTGATTCGATATGTCAGTAATTTTTTTTTTTTTATTCAGCTTCTTCTCTAAAACCCAAGCTCTTTTTTTTAAATTAAGAGCTGAAAACTTAACGTCTCCCTCTCTTTCTGTTTCCTGTGCAGTCGCTCTCCCTCTCCGCTGCAGGCCAGTGAGAAGGAGAAAGAAAGCCCAGCCGATCTGACTGAGCGCTGCTTTCGGGAACTGCTGGGCCGTGCCGCCTATGGCAACATCAAGAACGCAGTCACCCCTGTGCTTATGTAAGGGATCTGCCACACATCACGCCTGTCAGAATAGGTTATAATATATATTTTTTTCATTTCTGCTGGTATTTCATTAGTTTTTTAGGTATAGCTGTATTCTTACATTACTTCAGATTTAGGGCATTTGCTTTATAATTCTCCAGTCTCTTAATGTTAGCATATTGATTAAGAGTAACTCGACTCATGTCAGTTCTGGATTATTTATGAGTTCATAGTTAATCTCACTTCGGGTGGTGTGAATCTCATTTTTCAGTCGCTTCTGGCTTCATTTCTCTTGCTCAAGCTCTTTCGGTTCTCTCGCCGCAGGCATCTTGATAATCATTCTCTGTGGGAAGGCAAAACATTTGCAGTGCGCTGCTTTAAGATCATCATGTACTCCATTCAGGTGAGTTCAGTCCTTAATTGAAAAAAGAATCAACTTTAATAAGAAACTTTTTTATAATTTATGTACATCAGATATATCATATTATATTATACGTATTATATGTATTATATTATAGTGGTACAGAAATTATACTCACACTCTCACTCTCTCTCTCTCACACACACACACACACACACACACACATACACATATATATGAAGAGTTCAGATGCAAAAGCCTCTAAGTGCCATTTGAAATTTTCTTCTAGAATGATAATTTTTCTCAAGCTTGTATATTTAAGTTCAGTAATTTCACTTAAATTTCAATGAAGATTACCTATTAATTATCATTTAAGTGAAATTACTGAACTTGAATATATAAGCTTGATAAAAAAGATCATTCTAGAAGAAAATTTCAAATGGCACTTTGCTTCTGAAATCTTCATATATGGGTTATAATAAAAATATATCTTAATATATTTTATTCTTGGGGTGCTGAACAATTTACTTAAGATATTAAAAACTTTTAATCACCAAGAATACCAAAAATTGGCATCACACACTCAATGTGAATAGTTTTACTTATCCAATTCTGTTTAGTTATGATTATTAGTGATGCAAAGAATATTCTTATCAAATCATATTTACATTTAATTACAAGATTTTTAACCTAGTCATTTAAATCTCTCTTTCTTTCCATCCATCCAGTCTCAGCATTCTCATCTGGTCATCCAGCAGCTCTTGGGCCATTTAGATGCCAACAGTAAGAGCTCAGCCACAGTGCGTGCTGGGATAGTGGAGGTCCTTCTGGAGGCGGCTGCCATCGCTTCCAGTGGCTCTGTTGGTGGGTGTGGATTTACAATGCCGGTTACTAAACATTAAGTAGTGTAGCCAGTATATAGCTCATTGCACAGGAACAGAGTGGTGTCAGAGTGGTGTATAACATATATCACATATTTCATGCCTGTGCTTAGTATCTGGGTCACTCTCCCCCAGACGTTAAGCTGCTCCTCTGGGGGGAAGAAAAGTGTGACATTGCATCTGACCCAATCTAGATTTCAGCCAATAATATACATTTTTATAGCCAGACTTCTGCGAGCGGGGCTCTCTGACGTCAAGACAGTGCTCACACCTACTGTCCCGTGTGAAAGCCCTGTCACACTTCTTCTGGCAGCACTGCAGCACGCCACCTGCAGCTCGAAACTAACTGAATCATTTCATCCGATTCATTTATGTGAATCAGGTCCTTTTGGACATATTGGAGATTTAAATGACCTGCTTAGAAAAATTATTTTATTAAATTGCCTTATCATTATATTATTATATAATATATTTTTATATTTTATCATATTTAAAAGTATACTTTTTGCATCAATACTAGCATTATCAAAAAGATTTCTGGTAACACTACAGAGTTTTTTTGTCAAATATTTAGTTTTTTGAAAACTGTTCTTACCGCCCAGAAACTTATAATTGCTTTACAAATTGTTTTGATTATTAAAAAGAGTGGGAGAAAAACAACTATTTGTTAAAAAGGTTGGACATTTATATCTCTAGTTGTACTGATTCTGCTTAGCTGCAGATGGCTAATGTTTTTTACGAAGTGGCTGCATATATTAATGTGTGTTTGTTGCTTATTTTAGGCCCCACAGTGCTGGAGGTGTTCAACACGCTGCTCCGGCATCTGAGGCTCAGTGCGGACTATGAACTCACAGGATCCTACGACTGCACCAACATCGGCACCAAGATCATCAAGGAGCACGAGGAGAGACAGCTACAGGAAGCCGTCATCAGGACTATCGGTGCGTTTGTGAGCATAATACGAGGGTCTTCTTTGAGTTTCTTTATTTTTCATTACTATGGTTTGTGTCTTTTGAAATAAGGCTCATTTGCAAACACGTTACCCACGTATCAGCGCTCGGAAGTGATGCTGTTCATCATGGGAAAGATCCCTATTCCAGGCATGCATTTCGCACTACCCTCTACAGGCTCAGGGTGAGCACTGCATACTGTTTTTTTACTAAGAAAATCCCACTAATTAATATTATTAAACATTATTGTGGTAGATAAAAGCATTTATGAGACATTACTTTTAATAGACATATGTTCTCTTTATTTCCATACCATTGCATTCAAGTTTGTGGTTGTTTGGCGAAAGTCTTCTTTGCAAATCTGGTTGTCTGAATTTTCTAAAAAGAACCAATTCAAACAGAATTACTTTTGAAAGCTCGAAGGTCTTCACTTTGGACATTTTCTGAGGTGAACATCATTGTGTCTGTACTGCAGGCCTGAAGGAAACCGAATGATCCAAGTCATGCTGTTGAAGTCCTTAAGACAGGTAAATTCTTCCTTTTTTTTTTTTTTTTTTTTAATTGAAGAAACATGTAAATTTACACATACATTCAGGAGAACATAAAAGAGGTAAAGCAAAGACAAATTATACAGAATAATTCCAAATCAAGTGCCATAAAAATAATTATATTACATTATACAATTATAAAACATAAAATAAATAAAAATTTAAAAATAATAATACAAATAAAATAAGCAATCTTGACTATCAGATTCAATACAAAATAATTGTTCATATATTTTCAGGAATCTATTACATTTTTTTATTGCTAGATAAACTAAAAGATTTAAGCAGTGAGTCTACTTCAACCAAAAAATGTGAGAAAATAGGAAGTGATCCCATAAATAAAAATTAAAAATGTATTCTTTGGATGTGTGGGAATCAGTATAATAACAAATAATATCTTTCAAATTAAAGGAGTGTGCATGAATGGGGGTTTTATTTAAATGAGAAAATATACCAGACCAAAATTTCTGAACCAATTCTGCTTGATGCCTCATGAAAGAGAATTACATCATAGCAAAGATTTGGTAATGTTTCTTTCTTATTTTTTCTTCACTCTCCAGGTCACATGTGGTTTTCAGACGACTAACATGCTGACAGCTCTGCCCAACTCCTTTCTGGACCCATTGCTGTCATTCGCTCTGCTAGAGGATGCAGAAATTCGGCTCCTGGTGCTGGAAATTCTGGTCAGCCTCATCGATCGCCACGATAACCTCCCCAAGTTCTCCACCATCAGGTTAGTGTCTTTATTGGATTTAGGTCTAGGGGTTCTGGGTTTCCATCTGCTTACACTTTAACCCTCAGGTGCTCTTCGTTTCGGAGTCACACTTGTTATCTTCCCGGTCAAAAGTGACCGGACACCTAAAAATTAAATTTCCTCCATCCCAGTAAAACCAATGCAATTTATTTTTGTTCTATAATATTTATTCTTTGTAATTTAGTATTTTGAGACAATTTTATTGAATTTATTAATATTTATGCAATATTTATGGTCTATTTTTCCATGGAAAATATATATATATATTTATATATATATTATTTTTTTCAAAAAATTATTAATGCAGTATTTTAGTTTAATATAGAATCTAGGCCTTCAGAAAAAAAAAAAATTGAAGAAAATTAGCACCACCTGGTTACAGTATAGAGAAAAAGCGTAGAATCATGGTGTAACCACTAGATGGCATGTACTGTACTGTACAGCTTTCTATGGAGAAGCATGTGAATTCCCCAGATGTTTATGAACAATTTTTTTTTTTTGGTGGATTTAAATATATAGTTGAAACAATCTCAAAAACGATTTTTTGTTAAAAAAAATGTAAAAAATAAATAAATAAAAATTTGTGAATTCTTGTGTTTTTGTCAATTTCCCATTCATTTCCTATGGGTCGGTCATTTTTGACCGAAGACCACAAGTGTGACTATTTTTTTTACGACCACTTAGCATGCTCGGATCATGACCTCATTTTTTTGTATTCATAATGCCATAAATGCATAATGCCATAAAAGTCACCAAGTTTCATAACATTACGATGAAGCTGTGATTTTTAGAAATTCTAAATAGAAAATGTTTCGGTCAGAAATGACCGAAGAGCACCTGAGGGTTAAGAGAGCATGAAATTTAAACTTTAATAATAAAGGTCCTATTGTGCACAATTCATCAGTGCATATAATTGTAATTAATACAATAAAATGCATGTAACCATTAAACAATTTATAACAATAATTACTTGCACTTTTCAGTGTTTCAATTGAATATTCAGTTTCAAATGTGAAAAATTTCACATTACAGGTATATGCATTAAAACTAGTTTTTCCTGTGGTGTCATGTGTCACTTTGTCCCCATGCAGTATCATCTCTGACATCTCTGTGCTTAAGCTCAAAGTGGACAAGTGCTCACGTCAAGACAACCTTTTCATGAAGAAGGTACAGCATTCCTCTATCTCATCTCTCATATCCCCTTGTCAGTGGGTCTGCATGTATGTCCGAAGGGCTGATGTAGTGTTGATATCTGTGTTTTTAGCATGCGCAGCATCTGTACAGACACATTTACCTGTGCAGTAAGGAACAGAGCAGCGGACAGCCTCACTTTGAGAAGCTCTACTCACTCCTGGCCCTCATCAGCATGGAGCTGGCCAACGAAGAGGTGGTGGTGGACCTTATCCGTGTGGCGCTCGCTCTACAGGTGTGTTTACACTCCTAAAGTCCTAAAGTTTTGTGACCTTTACTATGAATATGTAAACATGCATTCAGAATTTACAGTCTCAAATCTTTGAAAGTATTTTAGTCCGGGTCACCAAATCCAACCAGGCAGAATTAGAGGTTACCAAAATCCGTTACCTCACTCTCGGTCTGTCCCAATCGTTATGCGTTTTTATATGTATCTGTTGTGTCCCCTACTGTACTGGCCTAAATTTGTGTTACCTTAGTTGTAAATTTGATATCTCTTTATTTTTATTTTTTTAATCTTTTGTAAAGTCATGGAAATTCTATATTAGTTCCTTTCTTGTGCTGATGGCACAAAGGGGATCGCATAAAAACTAGATTTGCAATGGTCTCCTCCATTACCCTACTATAGTTTACATGCGAGTCCATCAGACCACACACACACCGGTAAACACACAACATGCACAAAGAAAACAAAACTAAACTATTCATCTTTGTCAGCTCTTTTACACAGAGTATGATGTTATGGTTCTATTCATTATCAAATTTCATTATGAAGCTTGATGAATTTTTTCATTTATTTGCAACTCAAACTGTTTTTAAATTAGAAATTCAGCATCAGTCTTTTTATATGTTTTTGATGATGACCTACAAGGAATTCATAAAGGCTTTCAGTGTTTCTTCTCATCTTCCTGTGTTGCTTTCCATCCAGGACTTGGCACTGAGCGATGAGGAGGCGTTACCGGTGTATAACCGCTGTGCTGTTCATGCCCTGTCCTCTGCTTACCTCAATCTCATCAGTCAGCTCACCACCGTCCCAGCGTTCTGCCAACACGTTCATGAGGTGCCATATAGATGCTGAGCACAACCGCCTGATCTGTAGTCACTAACAGTTTCTTTTTATCGATTGAGATCTATTGCATAACCATTTTAGATGAATAAAATGTATGAACCTTTTTGCAGGTGATTGGAATGAGACAAAAAGAAATTCCTTACCTGTTACCTGAGGATGTCTTCACTGAAAACCCAACGTAAGGCAAATTGTTTAATGTTTTATATTATGTTCGAGAGTATTATTCAGTGAGGATTTTGGTTTCCACTAGAATATTAAGCAGAATAATTGTTTTCAACATTGATCAAAATAAATTTGTAGAATATATTAGAATGAATTCTGAAAGATCATGTGACTGAAGACTATAGTATTTTTATATATAGATTTAAAAATCGTATGCATATTTAAATCAAAATACAAAAATATTGTAAATTATATATTCTAAATTATGATTTCCCAGGATTCCTAAGACGCTGGAGAAGCTGGAAGGAGAGGTGTTGTTCCAACAGGCCAAGATCACTGAGGTTCTTGGAGGAAGTGGCTACAACACTGAACGACTAGCTACACCTTACGTCCCACAGTTTACAGGTGCATAAATGAGCATTTTGTGCCACATCATAAAATTTCCAAAAATGACCCTATTTTTATTTCTTATAAGTGTCTTATTGTGTACAAATTATCATTGTGCATCAATCAAATCCCAATGGATAACCTGCTCTTTGTTGTTTCCAGCTGAATATTCTTTAATTCTTCGAAACACGTCACATGGCACACTCTAAATGCGCTGTGTGCGCCTTTCATGTTGTTTTTAAGAAAACAATGTACCGGTAATTCTTATTGTTGATAAGCGGCTACTCAGGCTATAGCCAATACAATCAAAGTGGTTAGCTCATTAGCTTCAATCTGGTTAGTGTTAGCCTAAAGTTATTTCTGCTTATTATTAGCTGACTGACAGATATTGGTTGATTAATTCCACCCTCTTCCCTTAGATGAAGACCGGCTGTCAAAGAGAAAGAGTGTTGGAGAAACAATATCTCTCCAGGTGGAGGTAGAGTCCAGAAACAGTCCGGAGAAAGAGGAGGTAAATGGAACTATACAACCCTTACAGGGACGTTTATGAAACCTTTTACTGGTTTCAATTTTTTTTTTTATTAAGGACATTTTAAGAAATTTGGCGTTCACATGAATAGCAAATCAAGCCAACATAGGTTTACCTAGTTAAATTTAACAAAACATACAAAAAAATGTTTTGTTTTTAAATATTGTGAAAATTATGACACTTTTTTTTGCATTTTTAGATTAAGAACATAAACATATGAAGAGTTCAGATGCAAAAGCCTCTAAATGCCATTTGAAATTTTCTTCTTTAATGATGATTTTTATCAAACGTGTATATTTAAGTTCAGTAATTTCACTTAAATAACAATTAATAGGTAATTATCATTGCCATTTAAGTGAAATCACTGAACTTAAATATACAAGCTTGATAAAAAAATTATCATTCTAGAAGAAAATTTCAAATTGCACTTAGAGGCTTTTGCATCTGAACTCTTCATATATATATATATATATATATATATATATATATATATAAATATATAGTTTTACTTTGTTCATAGATAGTCAGATATAGCTGACTTCTGGGGACAGCATTGCCCTGATGTATGTTTTCTTTTCCTACAGAGAACACCAGCTGAAGAAATCACTTTTGAAACACTGAAAAACGCCATCGGTGGGTTGATTTAATGAGAATTGATCTTTCTCTAAATTGTCTCTGCAGATATTTCCAGAACCTGCATGATGTAATTGTTTGTATGATTATTGCTTAGTTAACTTCTCTATTAGCTGAACAGTGCTAAAGTGTGTGCGCGTGTGTATTCTCCAGTGGACAGCGTAGGCGTGGAGGAACAGGAGAAGGAACGCAGGAGACAGGTGGTTGAGAAGTTCCAGAAGGCCCCCTTTGAGGAAATAGCTGCCCACTGTGGTGCCAGAGTGAGTTAATTATAATTTCATGAAAATGTTTTCCTCTGTTGTCTTCTCTCACACTGATCAGCTCAATATTGTAATTTAGGGCTAATACTTGTTCTTCTGTTTCCTCCCAGGCTTCAATGCTGCAGAGCAAACTTAATCAAATCTTTGAAATCACGATCAGGTAGGTTGCAGCATGGCTCCTTTCAAACACCAGCCGTCTCTGGTAAAGATGTTTGCGGTGATCTTATCTTTTCACTCTTTCTTGCTTGCAGGCCTCCTCCCAGTCCATCTGGAACCATCACATCAAGTTACGGCCAAACCCAGAGTCGCTCAGTCCCCGTTTATGAGATGAAGTTCCCGGATTTGTGCGTTTACTAGTGCAGCTCAACTCAGGATTCAGGAACCTTCAGTAGCAGCCAGAGGTGCAGAGAGCTGGAGGGTTTTAACTATTCAATGATATTTTAAAGTTATAATGCAGGAAAACTAAGAGGTCATCCCTCCTCTATCCTATAAACCTCATTGCTGGATTGTCCCATTCCCCGACCTACACTGTTACTGTACAGTGTACACAGTTTAGTGAACATTTGAGTTTTCCCGATGTAAAAAATATTCCCCACATATTCTTAGTTATTCTGCTCCTCCATAATAAAATCAGCTCACATATATGTATTTGGGCAAGTATTGAAGCAAAATTACTAACTCAACTGGGGCACAAAACCTATTAAGAACATGTCTGGGTTATATTTCTCCCCCAAATAAATAAGTAAATTATATTTTGAATAAATAACATTTAAAAAAAACTGACCTTTAAGATTTATTTTGCATTGTATTATTATTTTCATGACAAAGCACATTTACCCCAAATTCTCATGTTTTATTGTAAAAATGATATACATTTATAGTAGGAATATACTGTCTTTGACTATGCTTATTGCAGTGCTGAATGATGATTACAAATCATTGCATTACAGTAATTCCTTATTATAATAAAACTATTGTAAAATCACCATTGAGACACATTACAATATTGAGACTTTTGGAGGTAAATATATTTTGAATTGTCATAAAATAATGTCACGATGCTAAATGGTCAATAAATAATAATATAACCACATTTTGTTCAGATGCTTTTTAAAGGGGAGTTTCATAGAATAAAAAGGGGAAACTTCACCGCATTGAAAGCTCTGATGAATTGTGACAAAACAACCTACAAACCTTTCTACCAAGAGTTTAAATGCAATTAGTATTAGTGAAGTTAATTTATTGCACAAAATATCTCTGAAATGATTTTTACTTGTTGGTGCTAATTTTTGTTTCTAGTAGTTTGAACATTTAGTGAATCGACTTTGTATTGTTTTCTTTAAACATTGGTAGCTAATGTTTATCACACAGTGTTCTGCAGTCTGTGTAGATATCTGAAGTTCGTATCACTGGAGGTGTGACGCCTAACTAAGGAGCTCTTTAGTGCTCAAGGAACTATTTAATTCAATTTTTCTACCCAGTACCCATACTCATTTGCTTAGCATCTGTAACCTGCAATGTAGTGCTTATTTTTGAGTGCTTCCACACAGTCTTGTGGCATCGGACAATTTTTTTAAATTATTTTTATTTTGTAAACATAAGCATAATTTTTACTGTGTATATAAAGTTGCGTATGAGATCTATGAATATATGTAAATAGCTGTTTATTAGTTTTCGAATGCTCTGGTTTAGTCCTGGTTAGGTCATTGTCTGAATGAGAGTGTGTATTTCCTCATAATCACAAGTCAGTATGACACCTTCATTTTAAAAGAGTTTGCAAAATTCGTAGCTTTGTTTTTATGATTGACTACTAGCTCAAGGGTTCAGAGGCAAATGAAGAAAAACAGTCGGCAGCATTGCCATAAATCACACTCCTGGTGATTCACATAAAGCTCTGCAAATATCCCAGATTTTAGTGCTGATCTGTGTCTCTACATATAATATTTAAAGGATAATTTACAGCCAGGGTTTATTTAGCTTTTGTGTCCGTCTGACTGTACATTATCCTGCTTATTACATATTGCTAATAACCAAATAAATAAATATATGGATATGAAATATATTCATTTCGAGTATAAAAAGTCCATTACAGTCAGACTAGCAACAAAACATTCAATGCAACAATATTACTATATTAATTTACATATTACGTTTAATCTGCAATCCAAGTTATATTTTTGATGGACTAGTTAGCTAACATAATTATCTACAATGTAACAAGTCTTCCTCTATAATAAGTTCTCTCTCATCCAGCTCTCTGTATTTCTTACCAGTTCATTGTTCTTCCACTTATTTCCTTGCAAAAACGATAAACATGCCAATATTAGATTCACAGTTTAGCGGTCATTACACAAAATGTCTCCTGTTGGCCAATAAGCATCAAGTATTTTAGAGGCTATATAATAAATTCTATATTTTTATCATTTGATGAAAAGCATTATACCTGTAGGTGTAGTCCCTAATATTTTAGTCCCATTATGCGAAAGGATTATTTTTTTTGTATGGCTGTGGATCTTTACAGTGCCATTGACTGCTGTGCTTTTTCTAGAGGATTCTCTCTGCATGCTGTTATTTACATCATCGATTGGTGACTGCATACAGTATATGTTTTAAGTGTTACTTTTTATGTTTTTAAGAGCATATTACATGAGGCCAAGTGTCAAAACAGATTAAATCATTTTTGCCTTTAATTCATTATTCATTTATATTACACAGAGTAGTTATTTTAATAATCCGACCAGAGATACCTAAAAAGTAAATGCTATGATTCCTGTAGTCAGTAGTGTCTTTACCTCACAAGTAGACCTCCGCCGTCCTTAGTATGCATTTGCTATACGAGTATTCCCTTGAAATGAATCTGAATTGTAGCTCTTGCCCCGATTATATCACTGTAAATACATCTCACATTTCTGAATTTAATGTCTGTGAGAATGTTAATTTTTGGGCTGTGACGTGTCAAAGTTAGTCATTTGTTATAATATACCTCTGCAATTTATGTCTCATGTATGGGGTGACTGGAGTCAAATATCAGTCACAATGGATGTTTCTTTTTCTAATGAATTAAAAGTTTTCCCTATGAAATGTTTGTGGTTAAACTGCAAATAGACAATAAAAAATTTTCGATAGAATGCAGTGTTCATTGGACTGTTCTTAGCATCTGAAGTTAGGGGCGCTGAAACTTTGGAGTTTGCCAGTGACCTTGCGCTGCGTCTTGTTTTCTCGCTCAAATGATTTCCCTTTCATCGTTCAGCAAACGTAATCATATAATTTGTTTCTGGACGTGTTTGAGCTCAAATCGAGATTTCTTATTTTTAGATCACAAACAACTAAGAAGCAGAAAATATAAGCAAAAGTCTCCATTTGCTGTCCAGCAGAAACAAGATATGATTTTTGATCATATAAAATGTCATTTGCAGAGGTGTAAATTCCAGGTTCAGAAAGTAAAAGTCCTCCTCAGTGTTTTGTTCCAATCACCTGGATTTGCTTGTAATTTAATTTTTCCAGCCAGGAGATTGGAGAACCAATTAGTGAAATCGGCTGCCTGACTTCATGAGTGGAATAAACATATGGCAGGACTTTTACTCTATGTGATTTATGATCCTGTGATTTATGATCCCATGATTCATGGTCTTTATTTAAAGGAGTAGTTCACTTTAAAAAAAAAAATTTGCAGATATTTTACTCACCCCCATGTCATCCAAGATGTCCATATCATTCTTTCTTCAGTCGAAAAGAAATTAAGGTTTTTGATGAAAACAAACTGTAAACTGTTCAAACGGCTTTAAACGACTCCAGACGATAAATAAGGGTCTTATCAAGTGAAACGATCACTCATTTAAAAAGAAATAACAAAGTTTAAGTTTTATAAGCTCAAATGGTCACCTTGCTCTGTTCTGTGATGCACGTTCGTGACTCTTCTGTTCGAACTCGTTTATCAAAATGAACGAATCTTTTTCAATTCGTTCATTTCGTTTGTTGAATGAAGCAAATGACTCAAAAAAGATTCGTTCATTTTGATGTGTAAAAGTAAATGTGATGCAATTTCAGACCGATCAACAAATTTGCTGTTTTTACTCCAGGATATTAACCATAAAAACACATTAATACACAGCTGGGAACATTGCAAATTCATTTTAATGTAGTTCATGTACAGTATATATTACAGGAAAACTAACCAGCATCTCTTTGTAAATCCCAGAGATGGTCAGTGCAGTGCTATGTTGAAATAAACTAAACGTCAAGTGATGAGCTTTAATATTTAGTTCATGTGAAAAACCCTGCTAGTCTTCTTTCTCTTTACTTTTTTCACGGGGCAACAACATTTGATGCCCTTTAAATGATTAGTTCACCCTAAAATGAAAATGATGTCATTAATGACTCGCCCTCATGCCCGTAAGACCTCCGTTCATCTTCGGAACACAGTTTATTTTAGATTTAGTCCGAGAGTTTTCTGTCCCTCCATTGAAAATGTATGTACGGTATACTGTCCTTGTCCAGAAAGGTAATAAAGACATCATCAAAGTAGTCCATGTGACATCAGTGGGTTGGGTTAGGTAGAATTTTTTGAATGTTTCTGGTTCTGTTGTGAATCCGCGTTCAGTGACGTAAGACGTCTTATCTTATGCGGCTGAGCTTCGTTTACAGTCTGAGGGAGACGCACGCTGTAAATCTTCACAAACATGTCTATGGATTTTGACATAGAGGAACACTTGCATTTTTTTACCCAGCCATATTTATTTGAACCCGAATAGAGACACATCGTCAGCAGCGTCACTGAACGCGGATCCACAACAGAACCAGAAGACAATACAATGCTGAATAAAGTCGTAGTTCTTGTTATTTTTGGACCAAAAATGTATTTTCGATGCTTCAAAAAATTCGAACTAACCCACTGATGTCACATGTACTACTTTGATGATGTCTTTCTAACCTTTCTGGACAAGGACAGTATACCGTACATACATTTTCGTATTTCAAACGACTTGTATAATAAAGTGATATCTGATTTGTAACCAGGCAACCAATCGGATTGCTGGGGCTCATCTCTTCACCACACCGGAAAGTGCCTTATGAAGCCTCTGTAGCGCTTGTCACGTGGCGAGTTCCAGCGGAAGTGGGTCATGCGATACTTCCCTTTGTTCTTTACATTGTTCCTGTTTTGAACATTGAGCGTGCCGCCCTGCCCTCGCTCCACCCGGACGCTTTCCTCCAACTCCTCTGGTTCCTCCGGCTCCTCCTCCAGAGCGCCGTTAGTGAAGACTTTGACGGGTCGACGCTTGCGGCCCATGGGTTTACCCCAGCGGAAGTGCTCCATGGAGTAAGACCTCCTCTCGTCATTGTGAGTGCTTTCTCCATTGGGGTCTTGAAGTGCGATCGAGTCAGGATACAGAGCAGATAAGAGCAAGCTCAAACTGAGACTCTCCTCCCCAACCTCTTCTTCACTCTTCGGCTGTTCGGATGAAGACACACTTCTGTAATTGGAGGATTCTTGCGCAGATCTGCACTGTCTGACACATAGCTGCACAGTACAAACACACATTAAATATGGATGCAGATTTTGGTAAAGGGATAGGTCACCCAAAAAATTTAATGAGCCCATGATTTACTCACCCTCAAGCCATTCTAGGTGTATATGACGTTCTTCTTTCAGACGAATACAATCTGAGTTATAAAAAAAAATGTCCTGGCTCTTCCAAGCTTTAAAATTGCAGTGAATGGCTGTTTCTGTTTTGAAGTCAAGTCCATAAAAGTGCATCTATCCATCATAAAAGTGCATCTATCTATGATGCACTATGATGGATAGATGCACTTTTATGATGGATAGATGCACTTTTATGATGTATAGATCCACTTTTATGGTGGATAGATGCACTTTTATGGTGGCTATAGATGCATTTTTATGATGTATAGATACACTTTTGTCAGGTATAGACTCACTTTTATGGTGGATAGATGCACTTTTATGATGTATAGATCCACTTTTATGGTGGATAGATGCACTTTTATGGTGGCTAGATGCATTTTTATGATGTATAGATGCACTTTTATAATGTATAGATTCACTTTTATGATGGATAGATGCACTTTTATGGTGGCTAGATGCACTTTTATGAAGTATAGATGCACTTTTATGACGTATAGATTCACTTTTATGATGTATAGATGCACTTTTATGATTTATAGATTCACTTTTATGATGTATAGATGCACTTTTATGATGGATAGATGCACTTTAAGGTGGATAGATGCACTTTTATGATGTATAGATACACTTTTATGATGTATAGATTCACTTTTATGATGTATAGATACACTTTTATGATGTATAGATTCACTTTTATGATGGATAGATGCATTTTTATGATGTATAGATGCACTTTTTTCAGGTATAGACTCACTTTTATGGTGGATAGATGCACTTTTATGGTGGCTAGATGCATTTTTATGATGTATAGATGCACTTTTATAATGTATAGATTCACTTTTATGAAGTATAGATGCACTTTTATGGTGGATAGATGCACTTTTATGAAGTATAGATGCACTTTTATGGTGGATAGATGCGATTTGATGATGTATAGATTCACTTTTATGGTTGATGTATGCATTTTTATGATGTATAAATTTACTTTTAAGGTGGATAGATGCACTTTTATGATGTATAGATGCACTTTTTATGATGTATAGATGCACTTTTTATGATGTATAGATTCACTTTTATGATGCATAGATGCACTTTTATGATGTATAGATTCACTTTTATGATGTATAGATGCACTTTTATGATGTATAGATTCACTTTTATGGTGGATAGATGCACTTTTATGGTGGCTATAGATGCATTTTTATGATGTGTAGATGCACTTATCAGGTATAGATTCACTTTTATGACGTATAGATTCACTTTTATGAAGTATAGATGCACTTTTATGATTTATAGATTCACTTTTATGATGTATAGATGCACTTTTATGATGGATAGATACACTTTAAGGTGGATAGATGCACTTTTATGATGTAGATACACTTTTATGATGTATAGATTCACTTTTATGATGGATAGATACACTTTAAGGTGGATAGATGCACTTTTATGATGTATAGATACACTTTTATGATGTATAGATTCACTTTTATGATGTATAGATGCACTTTTATGATGGATAGATGCACTTTAAGGTGGATAAATGCACTTTTATGATGTATAGATACACTTTTATGATGTATAGATTCACTTTTATGATGGATAGATGCACTTTTATGATGTATAGATTCACTTTTATGGTGGATAGATACACTTTTATGGTGGCTATAGATGCATTTTTATGATGTGTAGATGCACTTATCAGGTATAGATTCACTTTTATGGTGGATAGATGCACTTTTATGGTGGCTAGATGCATTTTTATGATGTATAGATGCACTTTTATAATGTATAGATTCACTTTTATGATGGTGGATAGATGTGATTTTATGATGTATAGATGCACTTTTATGGTTGATATATGCATTTTTATGATGTATAAATTCACTTTTATGGTGGATAGATGCACTTTTATGAGATGCACTTCTATGATGGATAGATGCACTTTTTTGGACTTGACTTCAAAACAGAAACAGCCATTCACTGCAATTATAAAGCTTGGAAGAGCCAGGACATTTTTTTTTTAATGTTACTCCGATTTTATTCGTTTGAAAGAAGAATGTCATACACACCTAGGATGGCTTGAGGGTGAGTAAATCATGGGCTCATTTTAATTTTTCAGTGAAATATTCCTTTAACAAACATTTATACATTGTACAAAACTTAACAGATTATTAGTTTATGTGCATTCAAATTGTTCCTTTTGAATCTTTTCGTATTCATTATACCATAATTGGGGGAATCTCATATTGGAAAGAAAATATTAGAATATAAAATTAAAGTAAGTCTGAAAAATATGATTTTTCATTTGTGTTCATATTCATATATGATATGTTCATATATAATATTTATTGAGCATCAAAATAAGCATGTTAGAATGAATTCTGAAGGATCATGTGACACTGAAGACTGGAGTAATGATGCAGAAAAAGCTTTGCATCACAGGAATAAATTGCATTTTAAAATATAAAACAGAAAACTTACAACTTACAAAGTTTTAATGTATTTTGAATCAAAGCAGCCTTGGTTAGCATAAGAGTAACCACTCCAAACAGTGAGTGTCTATCTTTAAGATGATTTTATTAATGCCTTTTTTTAATGCATCTTACCCATTTTTGCTCATTAGATTTAAGGCCCATGCAGTCTATCAAATCCAGGCAGCGGCCGTCTACATATGGGCTGTGAAAACACAAGACTGCTGCAGCCAAAAGCCAGGAAGGACAGAGCATCTGAAAACCAGGAACAAGACAAAATCTCATCATTTCTTCCACCCCTCAGGTATTATTCGCATGACTCAGAAAGGAAAGCTGATAAGAAAATGGCTGAGACTATATATATATTGACTATATATATAAAGTCAAGGGCGAGTTTCATTGCTCAGGTATTTATCTTGAATGGTCTTTGATTTGATTATGCTGAATGAACGAAGTCACTGAATTGCAATGATGGCGTGTGGGAAGGTCGCATACGCTTATAAAGAATGTCTTACTTGTATATGACCAAAATGTTATTTGATTGGTGACATTGAGTTTGACTGTTCATGGTGTTTAAAAGAAAGAAGAAAAATGAACTTACAGACTTATATCTACTCAGTTCATTCATTTGTACTTGGTCTTTTATGGCTAAGCGAGAGCTTTTGGGGATGACGTCACGGCACACACGAATCTGTGAGAAAGTGGTCCAATAATATCACACCTCGACGTCAACAGCAGTGTTGTGTCAGGGATGAAAGGAAAGGAAAGGAAATAAACCAGCTCGAGACTCGTCATTACTAAGATTGTCCATGAAAGTCCACAAAAATTGGTTTTGGAAAAGATGATGACTCAGTTTTTGTCTGAAAACACTCAAAAGCCTCTTTTGACTCCTTTATATATTACATTATTTCACAGGGGAAGAAAAAGATCTCAATATTCTCTAGAAACCAGAAAAGTGGATAAAAATTGTTCATTAAATTATTAGATATTGCTTGATGATTCATCTCGGTCAACCACATCCTCGCTTGCAAGTCATCCCCTTTGGGATCCACATCAAATTAATTTGAATAATTATTATTATAAATAGAATGATTAGATGTAATATATTACTTGTGTGTATATTTATATATGCATACATTTATTTCAAAATTGTGTGTAAAAACAATTGAATTTAATAAAGTAGTATGAATAATAATCATTATTTCAAATGTATCATTATTCTACTTATACAGTTTTTTAAATCTGATCTTATCTTCTCTTGAAACATGTTTTTGTCAATGAAATTCAATAATAATTGAATAATAATCTTAATACATAATAATAATAATGTTAATACTTTACAATAAGTTAACATGAACTAACAAGGAACTGCTCTTCTACAGCATTTATTAATCTTTTCAAGTTCATTTCATCATTTACTAATACATTATTAAAATCAAAAGTTGTATTTGTTAACATTTCATGAATGCACTGTGAACTAACATGAACAAACTACGATGAGCTGTATTTTTTTTAACAAACATCAACATTACGTAACGTCTTACCATTATTGATAATAATGACATTATTTCCAATAAAATAAGTGATTTTCAGGAACATCGTCAAATATTCAATAGTTTTTGTCTTTAATTCGAATGCATATTGCTTCATTTACTCTGCATCACATACCTCTAAAAACAGATCAAAAACCAATGGTAAAGTTTAACATTTAAAAGGATAAAATACACATTTTCTGTGCCACTGTTCATAAACAAAGCTTTATAAGCAGATTAATCGTGCTAATTCCATATTCTCACCTTTCTAAATGTGTCGATGAGTTGAAGTTCTGAATCTTCTCTTCTTTGGGTCTCCAGCTCTTATCGAGCTCACCTCCACTGCGCTCGGTTAGCACTTTTCCCCCTGGTGTCTGTGAATGAATCTCTCTCTCTCTCTCTCTCTGTGTGTGTCTCTCTCTCGTTGTCTTATTTTCTGAATGAGCTCAGTTCTCTTATATACTCACAGGTACATGGCAACCCCTGAAGGCTGAGAGATGATCAGGTGAGTGAGGGGGTGGATCATGCACTGGGGAAATTACTTATAATAAAAACCTTTCCTACTTTTTACATTCCTATCTTTATACTTCTGCTTTTGGCACATTAGGACATCCGCAGGAAGTGGCAGGATGCTGCGTGTCCTTTTGACATACCCGGAAACTAATGGGACGCCGTTTTAGTCAAAATGAAACTCAGATTGGACAGGAAATGAAGGTGAGAGATGACGTCATTTCACATCAGAGATTCTTGTCAGCATCTAGGCAGCGTACAAATCGATCAGACTGACCAGATGTGCATTAGCCAAACTTAATTTCTCGTCTCTTTGTTGTTTCTTTTCTCAATGAAGCCTATTTGTGCCCCAAGGTTCATTAGCCGTGAATGTAATTACTATTGGAGGAAAGGTAATGTTGTGTTGTCGTGGTAACGCATGATAAATCGATTACTCCCTTTTCACTTTCATATGCTTACGTTAGTACACCGAGGAGGAGGGAAATGACTCAAGTGCAATTAAAAACATCATCTTAGCATAGTTTTCAAGGTCTGGAAATACTCTACATTTAATAACTGAAAGATGATTATAAATAGCTTTTTAAGTACAAATGTTAACACAAACTTTGTATTGTTACTTGACACAAAAGAAATGTTAACTAAAATGAAAATATGAAAAAAAATCTAATTTTTGTTAAGTTTAATTTAAAGTAGGCTACTTTGAATAACAACAAAAAACTAAATAATTGAATTGTTAATAATAAACAATTATAAAATATATAGACAAATTCAAATAAAAGTTAAAACACATAACAAAAAGTATAGGGTGAATACTGGTAAAGTGGGACAGTTAAGCTTAATCATTTCTATATTTACATGGATATGTTTTTATTACTAAAAATCAACACTGAATCAATCATTAGCAAGTATGTGATGTATATAAAAAAAGATTTTGTGGCTATGACATCACTTCCAGTGTGTGGCACATCATATTTAACAACCTTGGAGTGAACCATGATGATAAGTAAAATGACATAGCATTCTGAAGTAAATAAAAAAACTCATGAATCATTTGTAATTGTTATATATTTTGTTATAGGATGTAATGGAGAATCAGATTTTTTTTAAATCACATTCATATTAATCTTCTTGGGTTTTTTTTAATGCGATTTTGACACTGTCCTAGTTTGCTAATAGCGTATTGTTAAACTGGGACAGGGTTTTACTGGCAAAATGGGACAGCCATTCAAGTCATTCTTTCCCTTTTTATATGTCCCTCTTAAATTTAGTTAGTTAGCTAGATATTTCAACAAAGACTGACTTAAACTACTTATACTGAGCTTGCTTGTGATGCTAATGCAGGCACAGTCCATATTGCCCAAGCTGGCTTCAGGGGGACTGGAATGTACCCAATAAATCCCATACACAGTCTGACCACCGAAAGGTCACTGTTTTTGACACATTCTCCCCATAAAGGGTATTTTGGACATGAATGGCAAACAATAACATGTAATAATATGGACTGAAACTAAGAAATGTAATTTTTTTTTGGATTCCCGTTCGACATTTATGTGTGATACCTGTGTATACATGAAGAAATTGATAATGTCGATGTAGTAGACCTGCAATTATTATTTATTTGTTATTATTTTATTTATTTTATTTTTATTTTTGTTTTTTTGTTTTTTTCTTGTTGTGGTAAGAGAGAAAAGATGGCCGTCTACATCCTAAAAAAGTATAAACTATCAATCAGAGGATCATCATGTAGATGCCTTATAAATGTTATTAAATATGATACAGTGGGCTTTATAAGGTCAAGTGGTGTATTATTAATTGCTGATAAACATGTTTTGAATACACAATACCATCAATGCTTTTTCCTAGTACAAATAATTTGGTGCATTCATTTTGTGTCCATCTGATGTGATTGTTCAGACCTCAGCATATAGAGTAAGGATAGTCTGAGCTGCTGTTGTTCAGTGCCTGGATTGTCTGTCCTCCCTTTATTCTAATCAGGAATCCAATTACACCGGATTACAAGGATAAGATGCCCACTCTGCAACACATAAGGTGTAGAGAGAGAGAGAGAGAGAGAGAGAGAGAGAGAGAGAGAGAGAGAGAGAGAGAGAGGGGATGGCAGCATACGTCTATATTTCCTCAGAAGACAAACAAAACATCTCCAACAATTGAAGCAGGTAATGAGAAGCCTTGTAACTGTTTCCCTATAGAGTTTGCTTGCATAATCTCTGCCGATGACATCTTTTGTAAAACGTTGCCGCTGATCGTAACTGTGTCAGCTGAGCTTTAACAGCTCTCTAAATAGTTTGAGAAATCTCTCTCATGTGAGATGGTGTGAATCATGAGTCGTGGTGTCATGATAAATCAAATGCCCTCCAAACAAACATTTACTCTAAATTTACACTTGTAATCAAAATGTCACTTCAGATACGTATGATGCTTTATCCATATGATTCATTCTCAGTGTTATTCTTTTATTAATACTGCAGGACATGAGATTAGAGGCTCTCGCGCATTGCTCTGTAATATGGTTTGGCATATTCAGCATTCCTCTGTTGGATCTAGTGCACTAGGCTTGGGTCAGAGCCACAAGGTGCTTTGGTAGATGTGTTACTTTAGCATTAAAAGGTCTGCTTAAGGTGTATGGGTCAGCTCAAGGCATTTCCTGCACATTTTTCCTCCTGAGTTCAACTCCAGGAAAGATCGAATACACGTATGCATTGATTTTGTTTTTGTATATACACTCACCTAAAGGATTATTAGGAACACCATACTAATAATGTGTTTGACCCCCTTTTGCCTTCATACGTGGCATTGATTCAACAAGGTGCTGAAAGCGTTCTTTAGAAATGTTGGCCCGTATTGATAGGATAGCATCTTGACGTTGATGGAGATTTGTGGGATGCACATCCAGGGCACGAAGCTCCCGTTCCACCACATCCCAAAGATGCTCTAATGGGTTGAGATCTGGTGACTATTTTAGCACAGTGTCATGTTCAAGAAACCAATTTGAAATGATTCAAGCTTTGTGACGTGGTGCATTATCCTGCTGGAAGTAGCCATCAGAGGATGGGTACATGGTGGCCATAAAGGGATGGACATGGTCAGAAACAATGCTCAGGTAGGCTGTGGCATTTAAACGATGCCCAATTGGCACTAAGGGGCCTAAAGTGTGCCAAGAAAACATCCCCCACACCATTACACCACCACCACCAGCCTGTACAGTGGTAAAAAGGCATGATGGATTCATGTTCCCATTTTGTTTACACCAAATTCTGACTCTGTAGACCCTTATTCATCGTCTGGTGTCGTTTAAAGCCCTTTGAAGCTGCACTGAAACTCTCATTTGAACCTTGAACCATTTGGTTCCCATTGAAGTCCATTATATGGAGAAAATCCATAATTTTTTTATTATTAAAAACCTTAATTTCTTTTCAACTGAAGAAAGAAAGACATGGACATCTTGGATGACATGGGGGTGAGTAAATTCTAATTGTCAGTAAAAGTTTTTTGAAAAGTGGACTACTCCTTTAACTTTATTGATAATTTACATATGAGTAAATTATTTTATTGATCATTTACATTGATATTTACAATAAGCAGCATTCAAATTTGTGCAGTGCATGTCAGCTTATCTTGTTGCAGTTTATCTCAAACTTATTTTGTATTGTGTAAATGTCAACCGTAACACGTGTTTTGAAATATGATATAAAATAATTTAGAAATAATATATTAAAATATAACAAATATCGAAATAAATCTATATTTTTACTAATACTTTTTTTTACTAAAATATTTATTTATTCAGTTAGCTAGTTAGTTACACTCACCGCCCACTTTGTTGGGTTGGACACACTTTTACCTTCAGAACTTCTTCTTCTGACATGTGCTGGAAACTTTTCTCAGAGATTTTGGTCCATATTGAGATGGTAGATTCACACAGTTGCTTTAGATTTGTCGGCTGCACATCCATGATGTGAATCCCGTTCCAGAAAATGCTAAAGGTGCTCTATTGGATTGAGATGATGGTGGAGCCATTTGAGTTTAGTCATGTTCAAGAAACCAGATTAAGAATATTTGATCTTTGTGACATGGCGCATTATCCTGCTGGAAATAGCCATCAGAAGAAAATGGGAACACTGTGGTCATAAAGAGATGGACATAGTCAGCACAGCAACTGTAATCAGGTCAGCTGTGGCGTTTAAATGAAACTCAACTGGTACTAAGGAGCCCAAAGTTTACCATTACACCAACAGGAGCCTGAACCACTGATATACTGTAAGGGAGGATGGATCCATGCTTTCATGTTGTTTACACCAAATTGTGACCCTCCCTTCTGAATGTCACAGCATCAGACCAAGAAACATTTTTCCAGTCTTCTATTTTCCAAAATTGAGCCGGTGTGAATTTTAGCCTCAGTTTCCTGTTCTCAGCTGACCGGCGGTGTGTCTTCTGCTGCTGCTGTAGCTCCACTGCGTCAAGGTTGGTTGTATTGTGCGTTCAGAGATGCTCTTCTGCACCTCGGTTGTAACAAGTGGTTATTTGAGTTACTGTTTGTCTTTCTATCAGCTCAAACCAGTCTGGCCATTCTCCTCTGACCTCTGGCATCAACAAGGCATTTTCACCCACAGAACACCAGGATATTTTCTCTTTTTCTGACCCTTCTCTGTAAACCCTAGAGATGGTTGTGTGTGGATATCCCTGTAGATCAGCAGTTTATGAAATACTCAGATCAGCCTGTCTTGGACCAACAACTATGCCATGTTTAAAGTCAAATCACATTACGGCTGCATTTACACTGCAGGTCTTGATGCCCAAATCCGATTTTCTGACTGTATTGAATTGAATTGAATACTTTTGTATCCACATACAACACAATTCCTCAACTACACCATTAGCTTGCATATGAAATATTATTATTTTTTATGATACATTGCATTTGCGCTCTAGTACTAGGCCTGTGTAAAAATTTTCAGATTTATGATGGATTTTTTTTTTTTTTTTTTAATTGAATTGAATTGAATATCCGATTTTTGCATTCACACTATACACTGCTGAAACTACAAAATGCAGACGTTCTGATGGTTCTGAACTGGGAAATTAAGCAAAACAGCACGAAATTCAATGGATGCAGATGCGAATTAAAATTATCCAGTGTTTTCTTTCCACAATATTTCAGTAAGTCATCAAAACATTGGTCTCGTACGGCAGAGAAAAAAAAAGAGGAGGCTCTGGCCATGAGCACTTAAAACGATGCCTCATATCTCGTGAAATGTCTTCAAAAACGGATATTTCTGTAACAACCCTGCATTTTTGCCTGCACTCTTCACCCCAAGCACTCAAAAGACATGAAACCTCCGCATTGCTCCACTGTGTGTATCCTTTCTTCCATCGCGCGGTTCGCGCCTATAATCGCGCAGTTTTTAATGACGCGTGACTCGCATTTACTGGGGAATATCCGATTTGTCTGCTTACATGGCACACGCAAATGCACGTATCTGATTCATATCCGATTTATTACCACATATGAATGAGGCCTGAATCCGATCTGAGAAAATCGGAATCCATGCGTTTTTTCCTGCTTAACACGTTCACCGGTCATATCCGATCTGTGCCAGAGGAAAAAATCGGATTTGGGTCACTTGAACCATGCAGTGTGTAAACGAGACCTTAGTACCCACTTCAGCAGATCGTCTTGACCATGTCTACATGCCTAAATGAATTGGGTTGCTGCCATGGGACTAGCTGATTAGATATTTGTGTTAAAAAGCAGATGAACAGGTGTAATAAAGTGGCTGGGGAGTGTAGTTAAATATTTCTGGTTTTGTTTTCAGGTGAATTGCATTGGAAAAGTTGACAACTGAGTCGTAGATCGTGTTCCTGTGTGACAAGCTCTTCCCAAGACTTGAGACTGGAGGTCAGAGAGCTTGTACCCTGGCCTTCTCCCCCAGGGTCCTTCCAACGAGGCGGGAAGGGGGGTCAGCCGAAGCGATCACATGGAGGACAGGCTTCTCTCGCCCCTTTTGCTGGCCATATTGTTTCTGGCAACATGTGCGAGCGATGATGGCCACTCAACGCAAACACATCAGGTCAGTACGGCTCAGTGTGGCGAATACAGCAACCAGGTCCTGGAGGACGGCATGTGCCGAATCATGGCCACGTTGCCCCAAATGGACGACCAGCGGTGCCCGGACATGTTTCGCTGTACGGATGAGGTTTCATACTGGCTTCATGAGAATGAGGAACGCAAACAGCAGATTCTAGCCCTGCGGGAGACAGTGTCCGAACTTCAGGAGGAGCTTCGCAACCACCGTCATCGAGTCAAAGTGTTAGAACTACAAGTGAGTCCTATATGTCATGATTCAATGCACCTAACGACACTGTAAAATAAATATTGTTGGTTTAACTTTAAAAAAAAAAATGAAGTAACCTGGTTGCCTTAAAATTTTAAGTTAATTGAAATGGAAAAATTGAGTTAATACAATGAAGGAAATTGATTTAATCACCAGAAACTCAAAATATGATGTTATCTGAACTACATAATTTATTTAAGTTGATTTTGACAAAACGAAAAAGTTTGTAATTACAAGTCAGTGTTTGGGACTGACTGATTCATCATAAGCTGTTGGAGAAATATTATACAATTAGAAGATAAGATATTTATAACAATAATTCTTAATTAATTGTTTAATTATCTTAATTTTGTGCATCAGTATCTGTTTTTTGTTCTGCTCTTCATCAGAATTCATGGGTACGGCAAAGGAATACAAAAATCAGTATGACCTGTGCCTGACTCAATGCCTTTAATAACCAGTGGGTCAAACTTTTTCTCATTCCCTGATTAAATTTGGGAACATTTGGTGTGGCCTGACCTGTTCTCGCTTGTTCTATTTAAAGGACTTCCCATCTAAACAGTAAGGCAGAGGTGTAAAAAGTATATCTAAAAAAACATATTTGAGTAAAAGCAGAGACCTTACAGTGAAAATGACTTCCTTACAAGTCACGATTTCCAATATCACTCGAGTAAAAGTCATATAGTATCTTATTTTAACAATACTTATTTTACTTGTACTAAATGTAGGCTCAGAATTGCATAAGTTCTCCACACCTAAAATGCATGCCAGTGAAAAACAAGAAATAGTTTTTTTTGTGAGGAGAGCAATCACTTTACTCTCTAAAACTGAACACCTCAATACTGCAATAAATCAGTCAATACAACAGCCTCTTAAACGTCTACAGACACTCAAGTCTCTGTTAAAGTTAAGGACTCATCTCACACTGTATATGAAAAACATGCGATTCTACCTGTTAATGCACTCACTTTCGTGTAAAGTTGTTTGGGTGAGGAAAGGCAAAATGTACAAGATACAGTACCTTCAATGTCCTGTGGATGGCGATATTGCTTATTTTCTAGCAGAAATAAACTGCTGCAGAAAAAGTTAGGTACCATGCTAAATGTAACGAGTATTTGCATTAGTAATTATGAATGTATTGGAGTAAATAATAAATATATTTAGACATGCAGAGAGTAAAAAGTTGCTAACATCTTTGATATATTAAAGTACAAAGTAGCAAAAAAGATACTTAAAGGTATACAATGTAACTTTGTGGATAAAAATTATTGTTTTGGTTGTAGCTTTACCCTTTAATAGACAGGGTACTTCCTAGAACAACAGCAACCATAAAGAAATGAACCTTCACAATAGATAATTCTTTACAGTCAACTCTGTTAGATGGCAATTTATCTGTTGGATAAAATACAACTCTCTCACCTGTTGAGTAATAATAACGCCATCTCCTCTTGGCTTTTACTACATTTTAAATCCCTCAGTCTTTGCCATCTCTGAAACGCCAAACTAATGTTGAATCTTGTTTTATTACGAGCTGTGTCATGTTCTCTTTTTGACAGCACTCTCCTCTGTTTGGCTTTTGTTTAAAACGAGATTTAGCTGCTCCATGTCAATCTTTCTCACTCGTTGTGACGACTAAAAAATGTCGCTCTTACATCATACGCGCATCAGAGTAGCCGGATCAACTTTCCTCTATTTACGGATATGACGAGACACACGGGAACGTGACGTATGTACACAATTTCCCACGAGAACCATCCCTAAAATATAAACTGTTATTATAGGCTTACCATAGTGAATCAGGGTAAGTTAAAAACACGTTTTAGAAGAAGGATTGATGACTCTATTAAATTTTGGAAATTTGAATCAACAGTGTATCGTTAAGTACATTAACTAATAACATTTACAACACTGCAATAAGGTACTTTCTGATTGACTGAGAGTTTATCGGAAATAAATCATGTCACAACTATTGAACAGCATGCAACGAATGGTAGATTATACAAATAATGACAAAAGAAATCTGTCAAAAATGATTTTTTTAATTGATTTTTTTAATGACAACATTCTGTGTGAAAAAGTTAGTTACACTAACAAAATTTAGCGATGATACAACTTAAAGGGGTGGTAAAGTATGATTTCACTTTTCTAACTTTAGTTACTGTGTAATGTTGCTGTTTGACGAGCTCTTGAAACCCCGCCCTCTGCACCAGCTCATTTGCATTTAAAGGGCCAGACACAAAACGGTGCTTTTTTTGCAAACCCTCAAAAAGTGACAACTTTAACATGCTAGAGTATATAAAAATATCTGTGGGGTCACACACACACACACTGAGGAAATCAGACATTTATTTTACATCTTTTGAAAAAGGCATTTTACCACCCCTTTAACTTTTTCATTAATATAACAGTAGCTCAGCTGGTTTCAAATCATTGCTTTTGCAGTAATTTCACACATTTTTGAATGTCCTGACCTGTTGTACTGTGGATGCATCTTTACTGCCTTGCGAGCTGCGGTAATCAAACAAACTTAACTTCCGGCTCTCTCATGTGTAGCGCTGGAACATCCTATCCAGTCCATGGAGTGCCATGTCTACATGAATTTCAGTACATTTCAAAGTATTATTGGTACCATGGTACCACTACTGTACTTTTTGTAATTATTTGAAGTTCCTTGGACTACTATGTAAATCCCATATTTACATACGGTATATCATAACTGTTCAGTACCATGGTATACTTTAAAGTATTACCCCTTCGAGCGCTTCTGTCGCTCCGGCCAAGTCGGCTTGATGTTTTCAGCCTAAAGTCTCCTTGACCCGAAGGCTAATGAGATTAACACAGGAGACCTTACCTCTCTCCACGTGCCTTCATTAGTATGCACCCTTAAGCTCTTCATGCTGTTTAAATGAGGGGATGATTCACACTCTCACGGCCTGATCCTGTCTGCCTCTCCCTCTCTCCTGCCCTTTCATGCAAACCCACAATACGCTGCAGCCACTTGAGAAGGCCCTCATTCTGCAAAGCTAATGGGAATTGTTCTTCACATCACTTTTTTTGATTGCGAGTCGTGATGTTTGTCTGTTTGGCCTCTCACAGAGTGAAGAGAAGAACCGCAATAGTTCATCTATTGAGCAGCGCTTGCATGAGCTGGAAGATCATTACGCCGAGGCCACGACCCTGTTGCACATCCAGGGCTCCTTGATCTACGACCTCCAGGCACAGATCCAAAACCTTTCCCTGCTCGTGGAAAAAGTCCGACGTAACCCCGGCTGCATGATCAACATAGTCCGCACCAGCCCTCTGCTCAGCGCTCAGGAAGCCCTGCATCCCGGTAGGCCACATCTGCGGATTTTGAAAAGCGAATTTTTTTTTAAGCTGTATGGTTATGTCCTAACCAAAACAAGCAGGAATAGTGAGTTGTTCTTATAAAGTTTCAGATAAAAAACAAATTTACTCACCGTCATGTCATTTCCAACCCATAAGACTTTAGTTAATCTGCGAAAAACACAAAAATATTTTTAATGAAATCCCAAAACTCTGGCGGTTCAAAACATTTATAAAGAGATTGTACATTTTTTACATTTTCAATCCAAGTCTTCAGAAGAGATTGCTTTATATAAACAGATTTTATTCTCAAATAAACATTGATCATGCAGCGAGAGCAGTGCTTCTCAATATGAAGGCTGCATATCATTTAAAGGATACTTGTTTCACGTCCTTCGGCTTATTTTGAAGGATGCATCGATCGAGTGTATCCCTTGCGTCCTCCAATCACCCACAATCCTTTGCACACATTCCAATTCCAGAAAAAGAATTATCGGAAAATAAAATGACCCTGAGCTCGTCCAGTTTTTAGGTCATAAAAGCGGCATGAGGGCCATTCCACTGAATGGGGGCCATTTGCTTGTAACTCTACCAAATAATCTTTTTTAAAACTGAATCTAATAACACATATGTTTAACTATTAAACAAAATATGTTTTAGTCCAGCTTTTTTAGCTTTTTCAAGTGGAAGATGCATTTTTCTCAGTCCTGTTACCAAAATAATACCAAAAAGCATGTTGAAAAACATGTCAACTAATTCCCCTCCAGGAGAAATTGCTGGTGTCATGTTCAAGAAATTGATCTCTGTCATTAAAAAAAAAGTATATGTGCACGGAAGGTGACTCAAACCTCAAGTTTATCTTTTTTTTCTTTTTTAATAACCCAGTGTATTAAACAATGGACAATGGGAGGGTACAAGTGCCCTTGGCGATTTCTATCAAGGGGGAACTTCAAAATCAGGTGAATAGTATTATTATATACTAATAAATCAACTAAGGCTACATCCACATTAATTTTAATCATTAAATTGTAGTGTTAGAGAGTGGGGACAGGTAACAAATGTTGTTCAGTGTTTTAATTATATTTTTTAAATTTGCAGTTAGATTAAAGTGTAGGACACTTGGCTTAATAATTAAATGTATTTTAGAGTTTTTTCTGCATTTTCCTGCAAATTTGTACATTTAATGTCCTGATGATGAACAGCCTGTTTGAGTTTCAATACAGTTTTCAATAGATTGCCTACTCTCTTTTTTTTTTCATTTCTTGCTCCTGTTTCTTCTTTTGGTATTTTGAAGTAGTACTTACAATACCGGTTACGGTCCACCAGCGTGAAATGTGAATACTTGTAATATTTACCCCGATCTTAAGATTTTGTTCAGGAGTGTATCTCTATTGTGTTTCGGAGATTCACCAATTTCTAATGGGTTTAGATCGACATGAGGGTGAGTAAATTCTGAAATTTTTAGTCATTTTTGGGGCGAGCTATCAAGTTTTTGACTATAGAATCATGGTGAGTTACTGACATGAACCAACAGATGGTGACAAATCATAGCACAGTTTATCAGGCAGAATCCGAAGTTTAATAAGAACTGCAATCGCTCTCATATATCAATGTTTTGGCTTATATTTATGTGTTTTATGTGTTTTTTCACTCCAGAGGTGCAGCATGTCAGGAACTGCCCCATCGACTGCGCTTCCATCTACTATAATGGAGTGCGTCGTTCTGGGATCTACACTGTTGTGCCCTCACTGGGGGCCATGCCTGTGGAAGTCTACTGTGATATGGACACTGACAGTACGAAACCACACAACACAGGCAATCATGACTGTCCAGGACTCAACAATGAGGATGAGCCCAGTGCTTTGTGCCAGTAGATGCCACTTTTGCTGATAATTTACTCACCCCCATGTCATCCAAGATGTCCATGTCATTCTTTCTTCAGTCGAAAAGAAATTAAGGTTTTTGATTAAAAATATTCCAGGATTTTCTCCATATAATGGACTTCAATGGGAACCAAACGGTTCAAGGTCCAAATGAGAGTTTCAGTACAAACTGCAAACTGTTCAAAGGGCTTTAAACGACACCAGACGATGAATAAGGTTCTTATCTAGGACCCTTCGAGTCATGACTCGAAAAAAGATTTGTTCATTTTGATGAACGAGTTTGAACAGGAGAGTCATGAACGCTCATCACAGAACAGAGCAAGGCGAGCATTTGTGCTTATAAAACTTAAACTTTTGTTATTTATTCTTAAATGACCGATATATTCGCTAGATAAGACCCTTATTCATCGTCTGGTGTCATTTAAAGCCATTTGAAGCTGCACTGAAACTCTCATTTGGACCTTGAATCGTTTGGTTCCCAGTAAAGTGCATTATATGGAGAAAATCCTGGAATGTTTTCATCAAAAACCTTAATTTCTTTTCAACTGAAGAAAGAAAGACATGGACATCTTGGATGACATGGGGGTGAGTAAATTATCAGTAAAAGTTTTTTTTTAAAGTGAACTACTCCTTTAATGCAAACCTATTTGAATTTCTATGGCACATTGACATATAAAGATTATTCATAACTATATTGTGTTTTTATGTTAACGAAATTACTAAAAATTCAACTAGAGCTATGTGCTTTTGTCATTTTATTAGCATGTTTTTAGCATTATGTTTTATTTCAGTTTTCAGTATTTGTTTTTAATTATTAAAACAGTAAAAAAAAATTGTATTGCTTCAACTTAAACTTATTTCAATTAATTATTTCCAACACAGTTTTTCTAATATCCATATTGTTTAAGTTTTCAAATAAATTTATATTTTATTTTATTTCAGCTTTATTTCAAATAATAGTTTTTAGTAGTTTTAGTTAACGATAACCACCCCGATAGATACATTAGTTTTTTATGCTTGGACCAGTGAACAAGCTCAAATCTGAACGTTTGCAGTTCACACCCACTAAAATTTTTTTGTTTTGCTAGAAATCTGCTGTGGGTGAATCATTGTTTTATTTTTACATTGTTTATTGGACAATTTTGGGACTTACCACCGCAAATGCAAATCCGGTAATGGACATCTAAATGATTTCCCTTTTTATGTCTTCTGAGACTTTTTGTGCTGAAATTGCACCAGTGGGGCACATGAGGAACATCTCAGAGTCTAAAAATAGCATGTGCAATCTTTTTTTGATGACCTGCAAAACACTATAGTATAATTTCTGTGGTCATAAGATGAAACCTAAATTATCTGCCGTGTCCATTAAACTCATAACAAAAAATTTGATTGTTGAATGCTTGTACGTATACCCATTTTACATTTTCTCCCCAATAGAAGCATTAACTTGATCATTCAAGCACATGCATATTGTCATATCTCAGGTGGCGGTTGGACTGTGATCCAGCGTAGGCAAGATGGCTCCGTGAACTTTGACCGCAGCTGGAAGGAGTATAAGGAAGGCTTTGGAGACCTGCACACTGAATACTGGCTGGGAAATGAGCACATCCATGACCTGACCAGCCAGGGAGACTATATGCTCCGTATCGACCTGGAGGACTGGAGCGGGAAACACAAGCACGCTGTTTATCAGAAATTCAGGTGAGGCAGTGACTAAACATCAAACCCTCGATGAATATCAGCATTGTGCTTGCGAGGAATCCGTGTTTTTTTCTGTGCCTTTGCAGTGTGGAGGACGAGGCCACTCAGTACCGTGTGCATGTGACGGGCTTCAGCGGGACAGTGGAGGACTCCTTCAGCTGGTACCATGACAAGCAGGGCTTCAGCACACCCGACACGGGCAACATCTGTGCTGAGATCTCCCACTCCGGCTGGTGGTACAACCAGTGTTTCTATGCAAACCTCAATGGCATCTACTACAAGGTGTGATGTGGCCGATTGGTTACCTGTTAACCCAAAGGTTGTAGGTTTAAAGGGATAGTTCACTTTGAAATGAATTTTTGGTATGTTTTAGCTTACCCCACTTTTTTTTTTTATGTTTTGGCCATTCATTTACACGACAACAGCATTTTGGAGGCCTGGAAACGCTAAATCTGCGAATTCATGAAAACTGTGACGTCGTGTGGATGCGTATTACGTCTTCAATACTTAGGCGCATAGTCTTTTTTAGAATACAATGCTTTTAATCGTTTTCGCAGATCTGTGACAACTTTGTTTTACAGTGCCCTCCACAATTATTGGCACCCCTGTTTAAGATGTGGTCGAGGACTTTTAAAAATTCTCCCTTTTTTTTAAACAACATAGAATCCAAATGCAAAAAAAGAGAAAAATCCAACCTTTTATGTAAGTACATTACTTTGGTGGTAAAAATTTTTTTTTTAAATTTAGAAAAATAAAAACTTCAAATCCTGTGTCCCACAATTATTGGCACCGCTAACAATTCTGCTGAAAAATGTAATTGATTTTTAAAAAAATATATTTTCTGTAGTTGCTAATGTTGGTCAGGATATCTAGGAACTTTTAATTAGTAATTCATGACTTCCTATTTCCCTGGGGTATAAATATGACATGACACAGAGGCCTAATTCTCTTACCCATTTGTCAACATGGCAAAGACAAGAGAACACACCATTCAAGTAAGGCAGATGTGTGATGACCTTTATAAGTCAGGCAATGGCTACAAGAAAATAGCCACTCACCTTATCTTGCCCGTATCTAAAGTTAGAGGAATCATTAAGAAGTTTAAAACAAACTGGAACAGTGACAAACAAGGCTGAAAGAGGTCCCAAGTTTATCTTGCCACAACGCACTGTGAGGAGGATGCTAAGAGAAGTAAAAAAAAGTCCTAGGCTCACTGTCACAGAATTGCATCAAATAGTGGCATCTTGGGGTCACAAAATCTCCAAAACAACCATCAGACGCTCTCTACATGCCAACAAGATGTTTGGGAGGCATGCTAGGAAAAAGCCTTTTCTCACTAACACTGATAAACGTAAACGTCTGGAGTTTGCCAAGCGGCACTGGGACTTCATCTGGGATCGTGTGCTTTGGTCGGATGAGACTAAGATTGAGCTTTTTGGCACCAAACACTCTAAGTGGATCTGGTGTAAAACAAAAGATGTGTATGCCGAAAAGTACCTCATGCCCACCGTGAAGTATGGTGGAGGATCTGTGATGCTGTGGGCCTGTTTCTCTTCCAAAGGCCCTGGGAACCTTGTTAGGGTGCATGGCATTATGAACGCTTTGAACTACCAGGACATTTTAAATAAAAACCTGATGGCCTCTGCCAGAAAGCTGAAGATGGGTCGTCATTGGGTCTTTCAGCAGGATAATGATCCAAAACGTGAGGCAAAATCTACACAAAAATGGTTCAGTCACAAACTCAAGGTCCTCCCATGGCCATCTCAGTCCCCAGACCTCAATCCAATCGAAAACCTGTGGGGTGAGCTAAAGAGGAGAGTGCACAAGAGAGGGCCCAGGATACTGGATGATCTAGAAAGATTTTGCAAAGAAGAATGGTCAAAGATCCCTCTCTCTGTGTTCTTCAATCTTGTGAAATGTTATAGGAGGAGATTAAGTGCTGTCTTGTTGGCAAAAGGGGGTTGTACAAAGTATTAACATCAGGGGTGCCAATAATTGTGGGACACATGATTTGAAGTTTTTATTTTTTTAAATTTAAAAAAAAAAATTTACCACCAAAGTAATGTACTTAAATAAAAGGTTGGATTTTTCTCTTTTTTTGCATTTGGATTCTATGTTGTTTAAAAAAAAGGGAGAATTTTTAAAAGTCCTCGACCACATCTTAAACAGGGGTGCCAATAATTGTGGAGGGCACTGTATGTGCGCGAAAAACTGGAGTTTGGTTTGGTTTTTTTATTTAATTATATCAAGAAAGCCTTAAAACATAAAAACAAAAGGCATCGAAATATAATCGAGGATTAAAACACAATAAAGTCCAGGACTTATTTCCATTGTGGTCCTCTTACACATAACGTCAAGACAGGACAAAGGAGGAAAGGAAAAACTTTTCAGATATATAATATATATATATTTTCAAAAACATTTAAAACTTGTCTAATTTTCTATATATATATTTTTTTAGAAACATGCTAACATAAAGTCATGATAGTCCACAAAAGTCTGCTCTGTTTTATGGAATTCTTGTCACATGAACAACAAGATGGCTTTTTGCAAAAAAAAAAAAAAAAATTCTAAAGAGATAAATAATACAAGATTATTATGCTAAATATATCGGCATACAAACTCAATAGACCACAAAAATCCCAAAATAAATTTTAATCAAGAAAATCATAATCATCATAAAAGATGTGCGTTCAATTGATTGTCTGAATAAATAAATGCATAGATTTAAAAAGTGACAAAGTATATAGACATCCTCACATTTAATGATCTTTGATGACGTCTGAGTGGTGTTGTGTCATCCTGATCGACAGGGCGGCCGCTACTCTCCGAAGGGGAAGAACCCTCTTGGTCCGGACGGTATCGTTTGGTACACCTGGAAAGATTCTGATTATTACTCTCTGAGGAAGGTCAGCATGATGATCCGACCCAAAACCTTCCGACAGCATCTGTCACCCTGAATCGGGCCCGACCAATGAGCTCGGGCTCATGATGTCAACCAGCCAATCACAGTTTATACCAAAGAGTGAAGACTAGTGAAGGACTGCTGCTAAAACAGGAAAGTCAGTGTTTGCCATTCAGTACATGCCTATATTTTATATACCCATGGTTTTAACATTTTGTTGACTTATTTTATAAATGTGTATTAAAGTAGATCTCCCTTTTACTAAAATAGCAACAATCATCCCACTGCAGTTGATGGCATCACCGTAATGACCCCAAACTCTTTAGTCCTTTTCTTTTGAAATATAAAATATATGTTTAAAATATTGCATAATCATGTCGACCCCAAAATTGGCTTTTACTTAAAGCTACACTGTGTAACTCTTTTAGCTAAAAACACTTAGTTCTTTCAAAAATATATGTGCTCATTAATGTATATTTACTTCGTTTAAGTAATAAAGTATTCTCGTGAGTGTATAATATGCCATTGCAAATACATACGGGTAAGGGGTTCTAATGTCAATCGCCATGTTGCCCCTACATCTTGAAAGTACATTAGCCAAAGAGGGACATACCTGTTAATTCAAGCTTCGCCTTTCTAATATTCACTAATATTACTGGATTATACCTTTTCACCACTAGATGGGGGTAAAATCACACAGTGTAGCTTTAACCCCCTCAGACCTGAATCATGTTTCAAGTTTCTGAAAAATATAAAAGTACATTTTCCCAGCTCAAGAGGATTCTATTAATGAAAACAAATGATTTTTTATATATATATATATATGAAGAGTTCAGATGCAAAAGCCTCTAAGTGCCATTTGAAATGTTCTTCTAAAATGATTATTTTTATCAAGCTTGTATATTTAAGTTCAGTGATTTCACTTAAATGGCAATGAAGATTACCTATTAATTGTCATTTAAGTGAAATTACTGAACTTAAATATACAAGCTTGATAAAAATAGTCATTTTAGAAGAAAATTTCAAATGGCATTAGAGGCTTTTGCATCTGAACTCTTCATATATAATTGCTTTCATTGTGATTTTTTTGGACATCAGGTCAAAACAGGTGTACTTCTTAAAAATGTTCCAACATGAAATAAATTAATAAACATAAAAGTTGTTGGTCTATACTTTAAGCTTTTTCTCAAGGTCAAAAAAATTCCAGCATCATACCATTTCAACTATAATTTTGAGGTTTTTGTTTTACAGATTGCACATTGTTTGTAACAAACTAAATATATTTGAATCAATCAATCTGGTCTTATTAGCATCATTTTCTGTGTGCATCTTTCTTTTTTAGAACAAAAACTTGAACATTATAACATTACAACTTTAATCATAAGGTTTTTCCTTTATATTGAACATTTGTTTATTCATAACAAAATAAACATAGGAATCAAACAATGCATTCATGTTAGAGAAATTTCCTGTGTGCATCTTGTGTTTTCTTGTATTTTTACAGTACTGGCAGGACGGTTGCCAGCAAGTCCAAGGCCGAAAAAAAGTACTTATTGAAATTAAGTAGGCCTACCTACTGATTGAGTATGTGGTTTCGGACGCAGCCAGGGTGTACTTTCTTAAAGGTGCAATAAGTGAATTCTGACAAAAGCTGTTAATAAGTGTCTCTGACCAAGCGCCACAACAAACATGTATCTAATCAGCAGTGATAATCAGGGGCGTGTCCACTCATGATGGGGGAGGGGCCTGGGAAGTACGGGTGCTGTTTTCACAGGATTTATTCATCTTTTGCTTTTAGCGATTTATTTTTAATAAACACTTGAAGTGGGCTATTTAAAAAAAGTGTTATTTATTTATTGAATTATGTTTTTTAAAACATACGCGCAGAGTGTGATGTCATATTGTGACTGTCGCAGTGTGCGCAGAAAGAATTTGTCCACTCTCCCGCTAAACTCAAGTCCACCTTCGTTGTTGTGTTAGGTAGGCAGGTTTTTTTGTGTTCATTTTTTTCCTGTCACTGTTCAGGCTCTTTTATTCAATATGACAGAAACAACAGCTCAATAACCCTTTTATCTGAAGGCTTAATTTATGTCCCGTAGACCAGTCCACTACATTACGATTGCAAGGATAATAATATCAATATCAAAATTGTGTGCAGTCAAATGTCTCAGTGATGCCTGGCAGTCATGTGAGCACAGCTGTGATGCATTGAGAAGCAAAGCTGATTCAACCACATGATGGCAGCATGTCTAGGCAAGGCTTGACCAACATAATTTCGCAGGTACATTCTCTGTCTATTTTTCTTAATCAAGATTAGAAAAATTTTGATTTGATTCAAATTTAAATATATATTATTAATATAGATGTTTCAAACTCTCAACCCTTTAGTTAAACGAGCTGCTAATCAGATAACCAATTAAATTCAATATTCAAATTCACATTCACATTATGACGTTATGCTGCTGAGACACTTAATGGGACTAAATGAATGGAGCCACTTTCTTTACGGTTGTTTTTAGAAGAGCTAATACTCTCCTTCACCTTAAATCACCCTCACCCAGTTTAACCTCTCTGCTACTTTAGTATGATCTCTTTTCTACTGTATATTTCTGTCTATATGTATACCTGTCAACTGTGTCCACGAATCAGACACACATGTTCTGGGCCATTACACCATTAAATAATGCTTGCGATGTTTTAGTGAAACAGTCTTCTGTTTACACTTCATGCAGGCTAAAATGGATCCACTGCTGTTTGATAACTCATCACTTGTTATGGTCCTTCTTTTAAAGCGTCATAAATGGATCCCACTTTGATAAATGGAGCGTTTTTTCAAATGATTAAAAGGTAAGGTGCACTTCTAGCCAAGATTTTGCATAATTAATTTAGCAAGTGTAACCTCCGGTTCACACGAAACTGAGTGTGATTCGAACCGCCGTGTCCAGCATGAGAGGTTAGCAAGGATGCTAAAAACCACAGCCTCTAGTCTAGCGTCAGTCGCTAACGCTCTTTGAAGCCAAAAGGAGTGAAGTTTTATCTGCACAACTCTTACTAGCTGCCCTCTGTTACACTAATTTGCCAAAACGCTCGTGGTTTGACTTCCTTGTGAACTAGAAAGTAACTGCTAAGTTTAGCACCTGTAGGGTTTGGCCAGGAACAGAAATAGCAGGTGCCTGGCAGCCTGCACGGCTCAGGATAGATCGGCTGCTGTTTAAGGAGGACTGGATTGAATCATGTGTGTATTAACTGATTAGTGAGCTCTGGGAATCCCATTAGAGCCAAGCTACCATTGCTAATGCTGATTAAGTCCCTCTAGAGCCCATAGACCACAGTCCACGGTAAAATCTCATCCTCTCCCAATAATGAAGCTGCATGAAAAGCACTTTTAACTTTTCATTTCCATAAATGTGATGCAGTATTTTTTTTGTAGATAAAGACACAGTGGGTCGGTCATTACAGTACATCCATGGTGGCGACCATATGGTCAGTTTGTTCAATATGTCTACCCATAATACTCTGGTTTTTCCTCATGTGAAGCACATTGGTGGTATGAATTACTTGCTTAGGTTTAGGTGTTTGATGAAATCCCTAACCCTAAGTATTAAAGAGGCTATATGCAGCTTTTTCCCCAAAATAAATGTAACAATGCCCTTTTTATTTTACCATTTATGACTAACACATCTCCTGATGAGCATACTGACACCTTGTCCGCTCACAGTGGGTGCACCTATAATCCTATTTTTCCTATTTTCTGTCGGGTCGGACTTTTCCCGCGCTGTCTGCGGATGTGACGTCAAGCGCGTTCATGTTAAACGTTTCAGATCACTTTGCCACCACCGCTAGTCAGCAAGTAGCCTACACTCGCAAGCAGAACACTTTAACATAATGTTGACCTCCTTGCAGAAGATGACTAACGTAAATGTGCGCGTTGCGAGAGCGAGCAGAAAGGAAGAGCAGTTCTGTTTTTTGGCCACAGGTGTCAGTCGCGAGTTTAAATTTCAGGAAACACATGTAGCCTCTTTAAACTTATTTTTACCCAGTAAATGAACCACCCAAAACACTAGCAACACCCTTGTAATAACTACCCTTACCCACGCTAATATTTTTAGCAGAAAGTGTAGCACAGGCAAGTACCACTCTCGCTTTCTTCAGGAAATGTATAATGTGTAATGAGAACGTGCACTTATTTGAGAACTGTGATTGTGGACAATCATTTATATACACTGTATGATTGCTCTGGTTAAAAAAAACCTAAATGGCACAATAGTACATCAGCTATTGGTACCATTATTGTCTCCTGGTACGGCAACAGTTGTGGGCTACAAAGCGTGGTTGAGTCACTCGCTTTTAGTTTGCATTGTTTGTTTGTTTAGTTCCTGATTTTACCTGGTGTGTTCGCAAAAGACTTTCTCCTCATCAGGTCATTGTCCGAAGTCTTGTGCATAGTGCACAATTAGTAAATTCTGTCACAAGCACTTTATCCAGCTTATAGCCAACATTAACTGATCCTACTGACCTGCTTAGCTCAGTTCAGCCAATAAGATACTTTCTTTTACTCCTCTGCCCCACAGATATGTATATGTAGATGCCTCATTTGACCTCTCTAGGCATGTCGTCACTAAAAGTATATGATGCCACATCATTGCGCAGCTTCTGGTTGTGAAACTGCCAAGATTTAAATTCTCGAAGAAATGAGATTGTGTTTGGTTTGTGTTATTACATGTATTATATATTTTTACTATGATCATTTTAATGTTTTTACTTTTACTGTGGTAACTTTGTAATGTCAGCTGACGTCTTCGTCTTGTTGTGTTGAAAACATCTGCCGAAGTCTATTTCATATATAGATATTTTATTCAAACGTGCATCTAATTACGGTTGCAGATGCTCAGTCAGCTCGCTCTTGAATGTTCACGGACTGCTCCAATATGGCGGACGGCTTACTTATGTAATGAGGAATCTATATATATTTCTATGCCCTGCCCTGCCTGTATTTCATCTAAATATCATTTTAAATATAAATGTAGTGTCCAAATTGTATGTGCCATTTTTACACTGCACTTATTTTGCGTTTACTTTGTTTAGCCTTTTATACTAATAACATATATTTCATGAGAGATCTATTGACAAATCTCCCAGAATTTTTAAGGTACTGACCTTTGACCCCGAAGGGCTCTTGTTAGCTAAAGTTTTCTCTACTGTGCATCATGTGATGTCAGTGATGGATGCTTTGAGTAGCCAGGGCATGAGTGCTGAGTAAGTAATCCTATTTGGGAAACTTGAGCTTCCGTCTCGCTTTCGGCGTGGCAATCTGTTGATCGCTTCTCAGCTCAATGAGTCGTAAAAACGTGTTGTGCTTTTTCATCACCAAGTTGGTATCTAGATTGCGTAGGTATTTTGTCTGTCTTCCTTTACCTGCATTTTGAGAAGAATGCTGTGTATAACAACAATATGTAGGA